CGGGCCCGTGTCGGCCCCGGGAAGCCCCGAGCGGGACCCGCGCGGCGGCCGCGCCCGAGGGGGAGGCTGCAACGCGCGTCCGGGCGCGGGCCACCCCAGCGCGCCTGTATCTGCGCTGGGATGGGCCTCGCTCGCCCCTGGCCCGGAACGTTCCGGCTAAACACTGCAGCATCCACCTCGCACTGTTCTTACAGGTGTGGGAGCTCAGGAGCAAGTGCGGGCCCACGCTGGAATCAAAGATCTTGGTGCCTTTCACTGCAGATCCCCTTCCATTTTGAACTGCCTTAGAGCTGAAGGTTTTTTTTTTTTTTTTTTTTTAAGATTTTAGTTTGGGCCTATCTCTGGTGGATTGGAATATTTTCAGTATGATCTTAATCCTGATAATCTGCCTTGAACTAAATGATTTTAAACACACTTTTTGTTTTTTTATTATGTTTGGAAAATGCCATTTACTTTCAATGTTTTAAATACAAAAAAAACTGATTGGAATGGTTTTTATCTGACAATTTATGGAGGCCCTACCAATGACATCACAATTTATTCGCTTGCCTCTCCGGAATGGAGGGATGGGTTGGCAAACTCCACTATTACGTATTTGCCATCTAGAAAGATTTCTCACAGCAAACAAAATAGCATATAGAACATGCCACAATTTGGGCTCAGAACCATGATAGAATTTATGTAAGAAACAGTGCATGAAATAGTGTCAGAAATCCTGTTAGCAACTACCTAGTCTAAAAATCATAGCTAGTTTTAAATTATTCTTTATATGTAGGATGCTTGGCCTATTATTTTTAATACTCTTTTTTTTTTTCTGACTACTAAGCAGTGAGGTTGATTTTATGCTAGGGAAGAACATGTAAATTAATCTTTTGTTTTGAAACCAGACTAAGAATTTTAAGCTGTCATTTTCCTAGCTTAATTTCTTTCCAGAAAACATGGCACAATGTTTGACTGATGTTGGCTGCAAGAGCTTTTGCTTGGGTAAGTGAATCTTGGAGCTTCCCGAGTCTCATAGGATGTTTGAAGAATAATGTTAATGTGCAGATCATTTACCTCATCTGTTCTGATTTTACACAGGTGAAGATCTCATTATTGAAACAAAAATTCTGTGCAAATATTGGGCTAAGAAATTTATGCAAATATTTCAAAAAGATAAATAGCAAATGCAGTCCTGCGGTCTTTGGCCAAAATGCTTGTAATATGGAAGGCTGCAGTTGTCAGCAGAATAATCTTACCAACATTATTTTAATCTCTTTAGAGTTGCTAAGTGCATGGAATATGGTCTTTCATTGATACAAAGCCTTCACTCTTGTTAAAAAGTGCAGGGATTAGATTTAGCTGTTGAGGAGGGACAAAGACATGTAATTAAACTTGATGTACATACTCTCACAAAATACCACCATTGCCCTGTTTGTATGTGGGTGAAAGAATTTGGAAACATAAAGTAAAACGTAAAGCAGCCGGTTAGTGGCATACAATGAATGTTGCCAAAGATTAACAGGACTTTTGACTGAGAGATTGCTGTATATTTTTTCCTTTTTTTTTTGGTTTTGCCTTTTGGTGTCTACTCTTACTGACTGTTGATGATTTATATTAATTTATACTAAAGATGGAATTTTCAAATAAAGTTACTTTTTGTGTAGTGTGGAATATAGGTATGTTGCTTTATTTAAGAACAATTTCAGCATGATTAATTAAGATGCCACAGTTAAAATTATGCAGTAGTTTGTGTTAAACTGCATCATTCTGTATTCGAAAATATTTCAAAGCTACTGCTTCAAAATAACATTCTGACTAAGGGGATTTTTTTCCTAATTTTGACATATGGTAATGATAAATGTAAACAAAACAGAATACTAATGTTTTGTTGCTTACTTAATGGAGAAAAAAATCAACTAAACTCTGGCATTTGCCTGCTCCTTGTAAATCTGCTTTCACTCAATTGTATAGCTAGATTTTGATCAGTATTCTTTGTTCTCTTAAAATTTACATTCAGTTGTGGGCAGGCAAGAAATGGCCCTGTCATCTCAATGACATACAATGTCAAATGATCTGCCAGGATCTTCCACAGTCTCATTCAAAATCTCCTGGATCTCAGTGGGAGCTGGACTGGGCCACGGAATTATTCAGTATTTGTGCCTAAAACCACAGAATTTAGCCATCCCATTGCTGCTGAATTTTTGCTATGAACAGAGTTATTAATATGAACACAGCATTTCTACTTGGATGAGATTTGCTGTTTTAATTTATCTTACTCTATATCATTAAGCGTGTTTCTGTTCACTTTTATATTGTATTATTTTATAGACCTATTAGATCTAGTAAAAGACTTAAGACCGTCCTGCCTAGTGTGACACTTCAAAATTTGTCTTAGCATAATACTAAGGTTACAGTATTACAGTGTTCCTACAGGGTTTATGTGCCTGTTCTTTGGAATGGCCTAAGGTGTGAGAAGGAATTCTGTCAGGAACTCAGAAAAATAATGAACTTTATCACTTACATGCAAGATGTGTTTCTCCAGCCTCAGCTTTGTTAGTATAAGCCACTGAAGA